GTGTGTGTGTGTGTGTAAGTGTGTAAGTGTGTGTGTGTCTTCTCGTGTGTGTATTTGTGAAATTGATATATATTTTGCATGACAATTCAACTGTATAGTGGAAATGCGTGTGTTCTTGAATTCATTTGTCACATAACCTGTTTGCGTTTTGGCTAACCATTGATGCGTGCTATGGTCCTACGAGTGCAAATAGGTCGATTTATTTGCACAAATTGTTTTTTTAACTCGTACTAAATTTGGTTAACAGCATGTACTTTAATACAGACCTGAAACGTACGCGGTTCCCTCAAGGTATCAAACTCGTCCTCCCACTTCCAAGCCACCTTGGGTATGGCGCTTTGCTTGCGTTTGGCCTGTTTTGGGGCGCCCTTTTTAATAGTCACACCTTTGGGCAGCAAATCCTTTGCAAACTCTGGCTGGTGCGGCTCGGGTCCATCGATGTTATGTGCTACATTCTTTCCATCTTCGTCTAGAGTCGAGTATGTGGTTATATGTACCGGCTCCCCGTCTTCCTGCATAGCAACCACTACATTCTCCTCGATTACAGGGGTTGTGCGTTCTTCTTCTGTCTTGTCATTGTCGGCTTTCTTGCTCTTACTATTTTTGTCGCTCTTATCCACGCTGCCCTTAGCTGTAGCACTGGCCGTTGTCTTTTCCAAGCTTTTATCCTTTGATTCACTATTACCATTCCAGCTTCTGTACGTCGATAGATACCTGAGACGAACATACCCAGTGCGTTTAGTGTAATCTGTATCACGGAAAATCGACTGAATGCTTCTATGTGTACTATATTTCCTCACTTTTGGATTCGTAGAATAGATTCCAGTACCCGAAGGCAGGGTACAAATACTTCTTTCTTCAGTATTGAGTAGACTTTTACTTGCTTTGAATGCTTTTGTTGTTTGCACTGTTTGCACAACAACAGTTCGAGTCGCAGGACTTGGCACGCGTCCATACTGGACAATTTTGCGTGTGTTGTTTAAAATAGTATGGGTACACACATCCATTGATGTGTGAGTACAGAGATTGGTACTGCGGTAGCAGTTGATCTTTACACCTCCTGTTGCTTTTGGGGTACTCGCCAGAGCTATTCGAACACACATATTAGCGCATCTCAACTGTAGTTATCTGTACTGTATTTACATATATTTATTATTGTTTCGGGTCTTTTTTTTATGAAATGAACTACTATTTTTGAAAATAGGCTCAATTTAGTATTTAAAAACATAGTATTTAGGTGTTAAAAAATACTATTGCTATTTCTAAAATAGTTATAAAAAATTACGGATGTTATTTTTACCGGGCGTAATTACTAATTTTACCCCGTTACCACTTACCGGATCCTGGATCCAGGACAGTTCCAGGTATATTTATATAAAATAAAGACTGTTGGAATCTACTCTCTATTTTCTAAATCAGTTGTTTATTCTGATTGTTGCTTCATCTAAAAGTTGTTCTCTCTTGAGAATTCAGTCTTATACTATCGTGTTGCTCTTAAAAACGTTACAACGCATATAAATTTCGATGCGTGAGAGTTTGAATTTCAACGTTCTCATCCATTTATAGTAGGCATGAAAAAGTATAAAAAAGACAAACCTTTTGTTTTTGTTTTTTGTAGAAAATGAGGTCGCGGCCTCGCATTCAATTTGGTCTCCACTTTCCATTTTAGGTTCCAGGTCCAAGGGCCCCGGCCCAGGGACTGTATTTACTATGGTGCACAGCGGTAAGAACCAGGTCATTCCCAGAGACCACAACATTTTTTCTAATCACCCGAAATCGATTTTGAGAGCAGTTTTGGGCTCTGCGCAACCTATAGATCAATAATATTCGGCTACATTCTTGGTGCAAACCTTAGAAGAAGAAAATCTTGTTCAGCCAAAATGTCGTTTCACAATCCGGGGCTATTGGAGCGATGTATGGGCTAAAACACGTGATCCCTACGGTGAAAACCTAAAAACTCGACGGCTTTGACCTCCATTCCTCAAGGCCTTTCGATCCCAATCACCCAATGTCCAAGTCAAAATTTATGGGTTAGAAATTTTTCAACCTGTGTATGCTTAGCCGAAAAAGTCCATTTTACCTAGTGTAAATATTTGGGCCGGGCAAAAGTACATTTTACCTAATATAAACATAGGGCCACCACATGTCCAGAATGTCGTTTTTGGAAACTTATCGGTTTTGGCATTATCATGATCTGTCAAAACTCAAAAGCAACCATTCACTTTGGGAAAAAAATGAACGCCTAGTTTTGGAAATTTATATGGGTGAAAATCAGGATGAACGACCTGGTCCTTGCTTCTGTGCACCCTATATAGAAAATTAGGACCCTTTTTGCCGTTTTTTTTTATAACCTTTTTGCTTTTATATAGAAAAACACAACTATTTAGACAAATAATTTTAGGGGGTTTTAGGTGCCAAAGCGTCCTGTCCATAACTTTTGGACCCTAATGAAACGGTAAGTACTAAGTAAATATATTCCCTCCGTTCAAGACTGGTACCTAAATATATAGATTTTCGTGAAAAGGGCTATTCTCATTTGTTAAAAAATTATTATGTGAATTTTAAAAATTATCTTATCACAACAAAACAGCGTGGGGGCTGTTAGACCAATCAAATCCTTTCACTGTTCCACCGGCAATTTTACTGCACATTCTTTAGTACAATTAGCTAAATATAGCAGCTGGTCTGACAGGATCTAAGATGTCGTAAACTATAGTTTGAAATACAACCAACTAGAAATAACTCCACAACTGGTATTCCAGTTCATCAAATTAACTTCAAAATAAATACGACACGTTGCAAATGTAAATACTTTCTGTAAATAAAAAGTGTGACGGACTGACGGTGTGTCATGACTCAATCCACATCCATCCTGACGCGACATCTTACAATAATCTCGAGAGAGAGAGCGACTTGACACAGCAGGGGCGGGGCGTAGCTCGATAATATATGAGTGGGTACCATCTAGATGCTTTTATACTATATTTAATATAAATATACATAGCTGTTCTATGTAGGAAGCTTTGATATGTATACCAGATAGATTACTACTTTGTAAGTTTTAGAAGTAGTGGATTACCCTTTTGCTGTCCATCTTTTTTGTCATATAAGTACAGTTACACAATAGCATAGACTCAAGTCAAATCTATTATTAATTAGCCAAATACACACTACCGAATATAAATGATGACTGGAGCCCCAGAGAAACGTTCCAGCGACTTCGCGTCCGAAAATGGAGTCAAGAAGCAACGTACAACCGATGATGTGAACGTGGTTAGCCTGAAACCCCTGATTGCACCTGATTTGCTAGAAGACGAGATCCCCATGGATGATAGTATGAGAGATACAGTTAATGCAGCTCGTGAGAGCATCAAGCGTGTGCTGGATGGTGCTGATGATAAGCTGGTTGTGATTGTTGGCCCATGCTCTATCCATGATCCCGAAGGAGCTATGGAATACGGTGTGTATCAATAGTCTGGTGTGTATGTTTGTGAGTTCATCATTTTTCGAACGCATTGCGTTTGGTGTACCGTTTGTCGACGGTGATTTTACTGTATTAGTGTTATCGTTATATTCAAGAGCCGCTATCAGGGATCATGTCATTATTAATCCTCTCCAAGTATTTTTCTCAATGATTGTCGTCATTCAAAGTGATTGTTCTTCTGCCTCTTTCTTCTTCGCATGGTTAACCTATTTTATTTACTAGCATGTTTAGATTGGAAATTTCGTCGATATAGACGGATATGCAAATACAATAGTTGGACAATAGTTGGGTACATCTTATTTTAACTCTATTTGTACGTATGTGTAGTAAAGTCAGAACTGTAAAGTAGAATATTACCGAGCTATCAATATAAGTCCACACTTGCACATTATCCAATCGAACTTCATGTGAGACCAGATTTGTTATATATTTTTATGCTTAGATATTCTAGCGACAACAATAGCAATGTCTTAACTTCGCTAAACAGTTTTTTGTGTCGGAGGGAAGACAGTGTAGAGACGAAGAGTCGATTTGATATACAGGTATAAAGCTAGTAGCTGTTGATCAGTGCCTCATCAAGAGGTTTTTTCATCCCACGTGCACACACCTAAAAGAAATAGTCGATGGAGATTGTGGCTATGAGCTGTGGATCGGCACATGTTTCTCTGAATACATACAACTAAAATGGGTTTCCTCTGCCATCCACTTAGATGTTTGTTGCACGTTTTAGTCTGTCACTTACATTTGATCAGTAGGGATGCGCTTTTCGAAAACATAAATCCCTCGAAATATGATCAAATTCAAGACTTGTATACTTACGTCCTTGCACCAATCACAACATATTAAATACTCAGCTCGAAGCCTGAAGACACTACAAGAAAAGTACTCCGATGAGCTTGTGGTCATCATGCGTGTGTACTTTGAGAAGCCTCGAACCACCGTAGGCTGGAAGGGTTTGATCAACGATCCAGATCTGGACGGTACCTTCAATATCAATAAGGGTATCCGTGTCGCGAGGAAGTTGCTTTGTGACATCACATCTCTCGGTTTGGGTGTTGGTGTCGAGTACCTCGATACCATCTCACCACAGGTATTGTATCATATATGTATTTGAATTAGAGATATGTAGCATGTCATTCACGTCATTGTGATTGTATACGCATATGAGTATAGTCGTATTGGTCATCAGGAGTATAGGCGATGGAATCTAATAACGTTACGGCTACACGCGCGTTGAGACAATGTATTTGCAAATCTGTACTTACCCTCTATTCTCCACGTTGCCGTGAATGGTTATTGCGCCCGTATGTATGGCAGACTGTAGAACAGGATTAGCCAGTCTATCACGCCGCTCATATGCCGTTAGAGCAGCTTCCTTTGTAAGTCTAATATTTCTTCACAGTTTTCGTATTGCCATTGGGCTTGCATACGTCGACATATTGGTCACTATATTTAAACATAAATCTGGCACTTACTATGAACAAGGGTTTTTCAAGTTTACATAGATCTGGGATTTTTGCACGTTGATCGTTTATCCAGCACTTAGGTCGTCAAATCACGAACGATAATTTACAAACTCTGGCGTGAAAATTCAGCTATAACGGAACAATTCCAGTTGGCGAAGCGTCAACAAATATTGATAAGCACATCTTAATTTTTTACTACTTATCAGTTTTTATCAATACGGACTGCATTTCTCCAGCCGCAAGTGAAAAGGACAAGTTTTAAAACCTGGCTTATCTTCAAACCAGATACATCCTTCACATACAATGGAGCACTTTAAATTCCAACCAATTACTGAGTATTTTTGTCCACCAAGCTTGCCATATTTTATCCCTGCTATTGATGTTCAATACTGATATCATTTTCCCACTGCATTCAATACCAGTTCATCTCAGATCTGGTCGCATGGGGAGCCATAGGCGCGCGTACCACTGAAAGTCAATGTCACCGCGAACTTTCTTCCGGAGTCTCGTGCCCTATTGGCTTCAAGAATGGAACAGGGGGTGATATTAAAGTAGCCGCAGATGCCATCATGTCCGCCTCGAACCCCCACCGTTTCCTGGGTATCACCAAACAAGGCTTGGCTGCGATCGTAGAGTCAAAGGTATTGCCCTACTGTGACCCCATCGAATGTACACTCATTTTTGCATACCGCCCTGGAGGCTGTGATAGCTTTGAGAGAATCAATTACTTGTACATGCATTGAATTTGGATTTACAAGCCTTTATTTATTTTCAACAAACGCGCCTGCTTATAGTTGAGGATAACTTTCTGTTACGCATAATCAACACTCGTGCTATATTACCGATAAATGTATAATTTCTAATTTTCTAGAATTCACTTCATGTATAATGATCGGTGAACGAATTCCACCTAATTCACCAAGAGTACTTATTTAGAACTTACTTTATAGCTGGTACATTAATTGAAAGACACTTAATAAGCCCAAATTCGTCGTAAAATATCCGCAGGGAAACAAATACTGCCACTTGATTCTTCGTGGAGGATCTGACGGACCCAATTACAGTGAGTCACAGGTGCAGAGTGCAGTAGCGATGTGTGAGAAGAACAAAGTCAGCGCGAAAATCATCGTGGACTGTTCTCATGGAAACTCTCTCAAGCTGCACACCAATCAACCCAAAGTTAGTGCCGAGATTGCCAGACAAGTGGCTGCGGGAAGTACTAATGTAGTAGGAGTTATGATCGAGAGCAATATCAACGAGGGCAAACAAAACGTAGGAACGGATGGCCTACAGGCACTGAAGTATGGAGTGAGTGTGACTGATGCGTGCGTATCTTTGGAGCAGACTGAACCCATGTTAGAAGAATTGGCACAGAGTGTGCGAATTAGACGAAAGTAGATTATAGCTACACGCACAACAAGGGCGGTGATAGTGCTATAACCTGTACTGCGTCTCAACAAATGTAGTACTCATCTTAAAATAAAGCGAAATTGAGCGTGTTCTGCAGATATGGGAATCGCCTTGGAAACCGTAATGTTATGCTGTCAAAGCTCTTCGAAGAATCAATTTTTTTGTGCGCTGATACAATCAGCATGTTACTATTGATTTGCACTCTCATTTGATACCTAAATTCTTGTTCTGGATATATCCCTTAGGGATGTCTAATTTTTCCCTTATTCCTTGTGCTTCACTAATCGCTATCATCAGAGCACACAACGCATTATGGCGATGAGTACTATGAGTGAGTACGCTTTTCTTTCTGCTAATATGTCGTCTGGCCCGTTTGAACCACTTACAATTAGATAGTCATGATAGCTAAAGGTCGATCCTCCTGAGGAGTGTTCCAACAGTACAGTGCCTCTGCAAAAAAGCAATCGATATGTGATATTGTAAAACATCACCAATTCCTTGTTTTAGCTTGTAGCCCCATAACCATTCTCGTATGCTACCACGGTCTCCATATTGAGGCGCCAGTTTCAGTTTCACCTGCAGTCAGCCTGCGCGAAGGTGTCGAGTTCTGGTCCGACATCCGTGTGTCCTCACGCCCTGATGATCGAGTATATACTGACAAGGAGTTCTGCGTGTATTGTTCACTGTAAAACCTCGATATATCTGAAATTATTCCATTTCGCGTGTTCAATAAGACGTTGTCACTATGATCCTCTTCAATGGCCCTCGAGTTATTCCTCTCTATTTCGAGGTGGTCATCGCTGTGACGATGGCCACCAAAGTTGTCGCTGGTCTCATCCGAGTGCCGTTTGGGGCTCAGAGAACAGTGCGACCGAAACCCGGTTTGTGGAGGTATATACCTATGGTTAATTGATGGGACGCTCTGAGTGGACCGTATACTTGCAGTGGGCTTATGCGTTCGACTCCCCAATGGAGTATGCCTTAATACGCTCAAACTAGAGACTGGTTGTATATCTTTCGATTGATTCCTTAGCTTTTTAAGACCTCTCTTGGACTCTCTGACACAGCGTACATATGGTGTGACAAGACCCTTGTGTTGTGAGCAGTTGTATTTCGTATGCTGGCAAGACATCGTTTCCCTCACATGCACCAACCAGATGTGTCGCTCGATGTTGATTTTCTTGGATGGGTTCGTTTGGCAATCTTTGTATCCGCATACATATAACGGCGGTAGCGTATCCATTGTTTTGCAATTACAGCAACCCGGTGGATATCAGTACAGTTACCTAGTATATGTGTTTGGCAAGGAAGCGAGAAGTGCACAAACTAATTATACGAAACTTCAAAATGGAGATAGCTTTTGAAGATGAGGATGTACCCCGTGGTTCTAATCTATACCTCTGGCCCTGAGACGGTCGGTGAGCTCCTGACACTCTGAGAGCGATCCCTGGACCCTGAGACCTGAGTCCTGGATATCCCCCAAAACAAAAAAAGAGCAAAAAAAAATACAATTTGAGGGAAAATGAAATTGGTTCTACTCTTTGTCACTTGTTGCGTGTCTTGTTCACCTTCGAAGACGATTTTACAGACCCCAAGGGCCCACAGCATAAATTTTTTTTCAAACCAATTATCCTTTTTTTTTAAAACAATACACAAATATACATCCAATATTGAATATGTATATATGTAAATATATATATTTCTGGGCTGGTATACGACAACTACGTTCAGTCGTACACCTGTGGAAAATTGTCACGGAGAGTCGGCGGAATGTATTTTATACATATGACATGACGTTTAGTATGTAAATAGTGTATTTGTTGTTGTTTTTTAAATGTACACCAATACAAATAAACCGACATGATGTGTATGACATACCGTTTTCCCAAATGTCGGTATAA